AGCGTTGAGAAACCTTTGGCGAACTCTGGGTTCTGCATAAGCGTGGCAAGGTCCGGCATTATGGCGGTATTGGCCCTACCGGTCGAAGGGATTGGACCGTGGCTGTCCCCTCCCCTTGTTGTTTGGTCATCTTGTCCCGATTGTGCCATCGTTGTCTGGTTTCGGGTCAACGGTTTCAACGGTAGATGCTGGATGCAAAGATTAACCTCAAGATATCTTATGAGGCCCTTCCTCTAGCGCCAAACTGTTGATAAACGGATTTGATCAACTTATTTATATTAATGATTATTGGATTAATAGCGTGATGGGACGATTTTATTGAATAATTGAGAATTGTCTAGGAAAATATCAAGTCGGTATTTCGCGAGTTTGAGGTCGGTTTTTCTTATACAATGAAGCTAAAGTTGGCAATAGCCGAGGTGATTAATGCAGAATTTATGTGTCGGGAAAAAAGATCCTCGTATTGCCTTTATTGCTGCTATTTATAGTAACTGGGGGCTCATCTTTTGAGGAGATTCGGCGGCATTTAATGAGGAATGACATCTGCGCAGCTTTTTCTGTCTGTGGGGCCCCCTCGCGCAATGATGTCTCCACATGGGCTCTGAACAGTTGATGGTACCCGCATTAAATGTTGCTTGTTCGCTCCGACGTCGGCCTGCACCCGAGGTTGCCTCATGTAGGAGGTCAGCTTCCCGACAAGGTCGGCTGTCTAAATGAGGTCGGCCACCACAGGTCGGGTTACGCTTTTTTGGCACTTTTGGGGCGTAATCCCTTTACTTCCTCGCCGTCCACGTGTCAGCCATCCAACGCTAAGGTAGATTTTTAGGTCAACAGTAAGCATATCATTATTATATTCATATGGATTACTAGCATTCTAGAGACGCTCATTCTTTGTCAGTTTTAAAACCTTCATATGCTGCCAAATAGAAGAGATATTTATCGTAGCTTTGACAATGTCCTATCGTGTTCCTTTAGGCACAACAATTAATATCTGCCAAAATCTCCACAAAAAACAACACTTTTACCACCAAACAGTTTTGTAGCATTAGATGGATCATTGACATGCATAATCGACCTTAAAGTCTTATCGGCGACCATAAAGCAGTCCCTATTTACCATTGGTGCCACGTCCAATATGATAAGTGTAGTACAAATAACTAATTCTGGTAAATGACTCGATTGTATTACGTAGCAAGCAGAAGTTTCTTTCGGATTAAGTGGTATTGCAAATCGGAAATGACCCCCTCCAGGCAATATAAAAGAAGCTATACTACTTGATGCAATATTTATAACAATTTTTCCTCTACCCCTTAAATATGTAGATTATTCCTGCCAATAGAACGTGTTTCTAGTACCATCATATCCATACACAAAGAATGTTCCTCCTCCAGTAGAATTTACCGCGTCCATAATCGTCGAGTAAACATTTTTTTTTTTCATAGTGGACAACATTTTGAGTGTTCAATCAACAAACTCTTGAGATCGTAGTTTACTTGTCAAATAAGAGTCTGTTGGTGAAAGGCACACCATCGGCAAATTCAGGATTTGATATGCAATCAAAGTCACATACGCTCCTTCCATGATTCTGCATTAGCTTCTAAATTTTAGTAAGTGTGGAATTCTTATGTCGGATTCACTCATAACCACATCTTAAAAAAAAAAAAAAATAATAATAACTATATCACCTTTTACAAAGTATTTGATTTTTTGTAATTTATTTAGTTTTTTTTTTTTAAAAAAAAAATTTAATAATAAACAAATATTTAAATTATTATTATATATACCATGATACTTTATGTCAAAATAAATAGAAAATTTAATTTTAGTACCTGGATGATGAAACGGTTTTCTTTTTTGTAAAAGATATCATCCGAAAGCAATTCCTAACATTTTTTCTAGAAAAATTATGGCCTTCCAAGAAAATCTGAACAAAGCAACGATAAGAATAAATGTCGAAGAGCTGATGCAGATGCCCAATGGGTGGCTTCAACGATGACATCAATATATTCCATGTCATCCTGTAGTAAACGAAGTTGCCCCTTTGTTTTATTGGACATGTAGCCACATGTAGACCGAAATATGCATGAGAACGTTGCAAAATATCATTACAAAATAAAATTAGAAATCAACTGCAAAATTTTTATTAACATAACTACCACAATACTGCAATAGAAAAATTGATTTCTCAACATTAACAACAAATCCCTTCAATTTTCTATTCAATTGGTAACAAGTCATATAAAAAAAAAAAAA